CCCTCCCCCCACCACCCCCCACGCCCCCCCCCCCCCCCCCCCCCGGTAAACAAGCAGCCATTGCTGACTGGCAGCAGTTCACGTTCAGGAGCCGGGAATTATTATGGATTCAGAGCACATCCGAGTGTCTGGAAAGCCAGACGGGGCTGAGGTGGGGAACAGTGGAGCTGCGGTGAATGTCTGTTCAACCTCACATAATGGGCTGGGCTCGTGAGCTGATATTTCACTAAAAAACGTCTCGCAGTCAGTCAGTCACTGAGGGAAGCCGCCCGAGTGGGGACAAGCCTCCTTTCCCCGTTAGAATATCGAGGGCTGTGATCAGGCGCTCTGGGGCTCTATCCCACATTATATATAGTGTTTATATCCCTCCATTCCTTCCCCCCCCCTCCCCCCCATCTCTCTAACTTCCTCTTTCCCCACAGCAGTACCCGCTGCCTCCGCTCTACTGACTCCGGTCTCCTCCGCATCCCCCGAATCCTCCGCTCCACCATCGGTGGCCGTGCCTTGAGCCACTGTGCCCCGAAGCTATGGAACTCCCTCCCTCAACCCCTTGGCCTTGCCCCCTCCTTTCCCATCGTCAGGTCGTGCCTGAAGACCTTCCTCTTCGACCGGGTCTGCGGTCACCTCCCCCCTCCCCCCGGCTCGGCCTCGAGCTCCACCGTTGTTAAGCTCCGAGACACCGCCCAATGTGGAGGGTACTGTATAAATACAAGTTGTTGTTGATCGGGGACAGAGGCTGAGATGGATTGAGAGACACCCTGGTGTCCAAACTGATGTTCCACACATCCACACACACTGACTCAATCATTTGCCGACCACTGAATATAATATTCATAATAATAATAATAATAACGGTTGGATTTGATACAGAGCCTTATCATGTTGGTCAGACATCTCAAGGTGCTTCACACAATATACTGTAAAGTGGAGTGACTGTATATTTTGTGAGCAGCCAATTGCGCACATCAGCATCCCACAAACAGGAGGGATTACAACCCCTGGAAAGCGATCCGCCAATCGACTAACAACTGGATTCCTACTTACTGCTGGTAAACAGAGGCGTGTGTGTGGAGTAAGGAAACTCGCCTAAGGTTTTGCCCCGACTGGGGATCGAACCCGGGACCTCTCGCTTGCGAGGCGAGTGCTCTAACTACTGAGCTACAGGACTCCACAATCCGTATTAAAACACAAATCACGGGGAGACATCGGGGAGTGTAAACACCTCCGCCCGCCCCCCCCCACCCCGCCCCCCCCATCAACTATCACCTCCACTTCCCTCTTGTTCCCTTCCCCCTCTCCCCATTCCCCCCACAGTCCCCATTCCCATCCCCAAGCACTGTAATCCCATCTCCGCTCACAAGCACTGTAATCCCACTTCGATAGGAAGTGATGGAGGGAGCAGGCCAAGTCTTCGAGGCGATCGCTGATCAACACACCAGTGTTTCCAGCCTAATCTGCTGCCGGTCTCTCTCGCTGACTATCAGGTCCTGGCACTGCTGTCTGCGCTGATTTTTTTTCCTTCTGAAATAGGTCATCGATGCGAAGTCGCGGGAAACTCGCATTAATCCACCAGTGACTCTTGGTCGGTGTCACTTTAAATGTCTGGGCTTCGCTCTGACTCGGCCTCGCTGTGTGCGATGGGAGGAAGAGCAAGAGAGAAAGAGAGAGAGAGAACGAATGAGAAGAAAATCAGACAGAGAGAGAGAGATAGAGAGAGAGACTGGGACTGACAGAGAGCGAGGGAGCAAGAGAGAGAAATAGAGGGAGAGAAAGACTGCACAAGAGAAGGACTGACAGAGCGAGCGAGAGAGCGAGAGCGAGATGGAACGAGAGACTGACAGTGAGCGAGGGAGCGAGAGAAAGAGAGAAAAAGAGAGATGGGGAGGGTGAATTGCGTCAGTGCCTCGCTGTGGTCTCTCCCGGTGACGAGGCGAAGGGTCTGACTGCTCCGGGCAGCCTCCACACACAGGACAAACAACAAGGAGAATCCACCGGTCAACACCAGCGAGATGTGTGGCTGTTAGAGCGCTCTTTTTCTCTCTCTCGGTCTCTCTCGTTCTCAGTCTCTCTCTCTCCGTCTTTCTCAGTCTTTCTCTGAGTCTCTTTCTCAGTCTCTCTCTCTCTCTCCGTCTCTCTTTCAGTCTCTCTTTCTCAGTCTCTCTATCAGTCTCTCTCTCTCTCTCTATCAGACTCTCTCTCTCTTTCCACAGGGAAAAGACATAATATGGCACTATATCAAATGCCAGGATTATTATTACTTATATTATTCTCGTTATTATAAACATTTTGCCAACAAAATACACAGTCAATCTACTTTAAAGTATCTCCTGTGAAGCGCTTTGAGATGTATTGTTTTTATTATATTTATAACTCCTCCAAGGACTCAGGAATAATCATTCCCACATGGAAACAGCAAGGATATCTGCTAAGGCTCCACAGAACATGTCCTTTCATTATCTTCCCCTCCTATACCTCCCTCCCTCCCTCTCCCTCCACCCCACCCATTCCTCCCTCCATCGTGTTGGCTGTTATTCAGGAGGGAGTGGGCTTACTCCCACGCTCAGTGCTGGTATCTCTCTGTCTCGCCCTCTCAGTGAGTGTGTGTATGCGTGTGTGGTGCGTGTTTGTGTTGCATGGGTGTGTTGTGTTTGTGTGTGTGTCGTGTGTGTGTGTGTGAGAGAGTGAGAGAGAGAGATACCAAGTCAGCTGATTGAACCTGCAACCATCTGACCCAGAGGTGAGAGCGTGATCGACTGAGAAAGCAATCCGCCAATCGACTAACAACCGGGTTCCTACTTACTGCTGGTAAACAGAGGCGTGTGTGTGGAGTAAGGAAACTTGCCTAAGGTTTTGCCCCGACTGGGAATCAAACCCAAGTCCTCTCGCTTGCGAAGCGAGTGCTCTAACCACTGAGCTACAGGACTCCACAATCCAGCACATCCGATTGCACAGATTCCACACTCTAAAGTGCTGCAAAATGTGATGGGAATAGTTGGGAATAAGCTTTGGATATCCTGTTTAGGATGAAGCGTTACACGGGGTAAGATATTGGGTAGATACTTAAAATAGAAACATTTGCAGGGCTACGGAGTGGGGTAAGAGCAGGGGAGTGGGACTAATCAGTAGCTCTTCCAAAGAGCCGGCACAGGCGCAATGAGCGAATGGCCTCCTTCGGTGCCGTAAGATTCTCTGATTCTAAGATTGAATCCGAACCGGTTTTGCTCCAATAGAAACTTTGGTTCACCAGACTTCGACCCTGCTATCCGGATTGCCACAATCTCACAGTCGCTCTTCACTGTGCAGCTCAGGGCTGGAAATGGTGACAGTCCCACACACTCCTTGTCCCAAGGTCATCTCAACAGGTGCTGGTGGGATGTGACCGAGAACCCACTGCTGCCACCTACTGGCCATATTTGAAACTGCAAGAGAATGAGAGAGAGAGAGAGAGCGAGAGAGAGGGACTGAGGCCAAGCAGAGATTCCAGCCTCTGTCAGCGCAGACAAGGGAACCCGTACAGTGAGTGACTCTCAGTCCTGCCGCACGTCAATACAATAAATAATAATAATCATTACACTCGATATAAGCGCTTCACAAAATATACTGTAAGGTGGAGCGATTGAGTATTTTTTTGTGGGCGAAATGCAGTAGACAATTGCTCACAGCAGTGAACCACAAACATCCATGGAGTGAACGATTAAAATGACCCGAGCGATTGTTGCCCAGGACACCGGGAGAGAGAAACTCTCTTCCCTTTTCCAATAGATCTGTGGGAATTTTAACATCCACCCGAAAAGACAAACAGGACCTCGGTTTAATGTCTCATCTGAAGGACAAGATCAAACAGCTGATGTTTTAGATTATACAGATTGATCCAACACATTACACATTCCTGACATTTACAGTCAATTCACTTTACAGTGAAGCGCTTTGAAACGTCTCCACGACATGATAAGGCGAGACATCAAAAGCAAGGATTATTATTATTGTCAAAATTCGTTGTAAGAAAACAAACAAATGGGAGGTGTGGGGGGTAACAGGATTTTGTGAACACCTTGTATATCAAATACAAGGAATATGATAATAAATGATAATAATCCTTGCATTTGTTATAACCCTTTTCACGTCTTCTAGACGTCTCAAAGAATATACTGTAAAGTGAATTGACTGTATATTTGTGGGCGAAACGCGGCAGCTAATTGCGCACAGCAGTGTCCCACAAACAGTCGTGGATTAAAGTGAGCAATTTATTATTATCTATTATTTTTCTTGAGGGATTATTATCAGGCATGTGTGTGTGTGTGTGTGCGCGCGCGCGTGTGTGTGTGTGTGTGTGTGTGTGTGGAGTGAGGAAACTTGCCCAAGGTTTCGCCCTGGCCGGGGCAATCGAACCCAGGTCTACTCACTTGCGAGGGGAGTGCTCTAACCACTGAGCTACAGGACTTCACCGTGATGATTATTAGACACATAGGCTGTCAGTGGGAGCATGCTGTGTGGAGTTGTAGTGTGTTGGGAGCTGGAGTGATTGGTTGAAGTGGGAGAGATTGTAAGGATGCACACAGCCAATGGAGATATTATCTGGGTGGGATTTCAGATGTCTGGCTCGCCTTGTGCAAGATCTGAGTCAAATAAATTCAGGGGCAAAAAAAAGCACAAACGGCCAGGACAGCAAGTAGCGCAGGGTTTTTTGTTCAGTGTAGATCAGCCTCTGTTAAGAGCAACCTCTCTCTGTGTGTGTATGTGTCTGTGTGTGCAAATAAGCCACACGCACACACACGCGCACACACACATACACACACAGCCACAAGGCAAGAGTTTGTGTGGGTCTTTCGCTCTCTTATTTCTTCCTGTTACTTTTCTTTTAGCAGTTTTTATTTATCGTGGTGTATGTGTTTTTTTGGGGGGGTTTGGAGTTAAAGTTTTCTTTTGCATATTATTTATTGTGTGTGTGTGTGTGTGTGTGTGTGTTTTCGGGGGAGAGTGGCGGGTGGTTTTATAGTGGGGTGGGGGAAGGGGAAAAAAATTAAACTTTCAGCTATGGTTGTGACAGAATGTGTGGATGTAAGTGACCCAGAGATGGACTTGTTGGAGACTGGACTGAGGGGCGAGCCTGGATGGTGCAAAACCCCCAATGGACACATTAAGAGACCCATGAATGCCTTTATGGTCTGGTCCCAGATCGAGAGGAGGAAGATCATGGAGCAAAACCCAGACTTGCACAATGCCGAGATCTCCAAGCGTCTGGGAAGGAGATGGAAAGCCTTGCTGGACCATGAGAAAGTCCCCTTCATCAAAGAGGCTGAGAGGTTGAGACTCAAGCACATGACTGACTACCCGGACTACAAGTATCGCCCAAGGAAAAAGGGCAAGAGCCAGACCACCTCCAAGATGTTGGGCAAGAAAGTGGGCAAGGGACCCGGGGGCAAAGCCTTGGCCAGGGGGCGAGGAGGTGTCCCTCTGCTGGCCAAGAAGGGCAAAAGGGGTTTGAGGTCCAAGCGAGGGGTCGCCTCCTTCAAACTGGCGGAGTCGGGAGATGTTGGAGAAGATGGCGAGGAGTTGGAATTGGAACAGGTGGAAGGAACTGTCATTGAGCCGGGAGAGGCCAGCCCTGCCCTGGGCAACATTGCCACCACCTTGTGCCAGGACCCCGACCCCAGCAGAGGGGGGGACTATGAGACCTCCAGCCTTGACCTTGGCTTTCCTCAAAGCTCCAACCCAACTGAGGATGGGTGGCCCCTCAACGATGGGAGGACTTCAGAGGTGGGTTCCAGCTCACCAAGCTCCACCACCACATCCTTAGCTTCATCACTGGCCTCTTCCTCGCCCTCCTCATCCTCACCATCACCATCATCCTCGTCATCCTCAGATGAAGAATTGGAGGAGACAATATTGGGCATCATCTCTAGCTCTGACTTTCAGACCCCTGGGCAGGAGAGCTTTGGGGGTTGCTCCCCACCAGACAGGGACCCAGAGTCATTCCAGACCAACTCAGCTTCACATTTTGAGTTTCCGGATTATTGCACACCAGAGGTGAATGAACTGATATCAGGAGATTGGCTCGTGTCTGGTATTTCTGACCTGGTGTTTACTTATTAGATACATTTCTTTGGGATACAATGATTGTGTGTATGGATGGGGGTAAAGGGTGAGGGAGAGGGGTTGGGGGGGGGGAGAAAGAGGGAGGTAGACATAGGGAGAGGGGGAGAGGGAGGGAGTGGGGGAGAGGGGGAAAGAAAGAAAGAGTGAGATAGACATAGGGAGAGGGGGAGAGAGAGAGAGAGGGAGGGAGTGGGGGGAGAAAGAAGGAGATAGGCATAGGGAGAAGGGAAGAGGGAGGGGGGAGTGAGAGTGGAGGGGTGAGGGAAGAGACATTTTTTTTTACTTTGTCTGCTTTTTTATATTGTTTTTACAAAAAAAAGACGAGAAAACAAGATTTTTTTTACAAAAAAAGACGAGAAAACAGATTTTTTTTTACAAAAAAAGACCAGAAAACAGAATTTTTTCTTTTTTTTTTACAGCTTTTTTTTTCCCCAGTTGTATTTTTTCTAGGGTTAAATTATTAAAACGAATGAATGAATTGTACGATCGCACTGCTATTTAAAAGGGATATTTGAAGGGGTTAAAAAAAAGGAGAACGAGGAAGAGAGAGAAAGAGAGAGAAAAGAGAGAGAGAGAGAGAATCGTCTAAAATTAATGTTAGTCTCATGGGCAAAAGTGTTGAATCAACTCCTTTTTTTCCCCCTTTCAAATATCATTTATTTGTTAATGTTTATTTCACAAATATTGTAATTTAATGCTCGAAAAACAGATCTAGGATTTTTTAAAAAGATCAGTAAACGTAAAACAAAGAGATTTTGCGCTTGTAACAGCCTATGTAACAGCAGAACATGTCAATTTCTCTATATATATATCCCCACACACACACACACACACCAAAAATAATAATAATAATAATAATTAACATTTGTAGGAGAAGGAAAAAAAATCAGGATGTATGTAACTGGATAGAGATTGAATGCATCTCTCTCTCTCTCTCTCTCTCTCTTTGTCTCTATTTCAAGTGTAAAGTTTAAAGCAATTCAGGGAACCTCAAAAAAATATATTGATTGCCCCATATTATTCCTCAAAACATTCTCCTGGGGGTATCTCTGGCTCTCTATCACACACACACACACCACACATGGTGTCTGGGCTGCTCACAGCTGTCTAGTGCTATCCAGCACCACTGACAGATCTGTCTCAGACTGGAAGGGTGGGGTGAAAAGGGGGAAAGGAGGAGAGGAGAGGAGAGGGGGGGTTTGATTCCTAGTGCACATCCATGTTTCTGGGAAGGGCATGGCATCAGCACTGGGATGGTTTTGTTACTCTCTCTCTCTCTCTCTCTCTAGGTCTTTTTATCACTCCATCACTCTCCAGGTAGCTCTCTGCCACTCTCTCTCTCTCTGTCTGTCTGTCTGTCTGTCTGTTGCTCCTTTTTCTTCTCTCTGTCACTATCTTTCTTTCTATTGCTGTCACTACCCCCTTCTCTCTCTCTCTCTCTTACTATCTCTTTGTTTTCTCTCTCTCTCTCTCTCTCTCAGTGACTTATCTCTCTGGTATTGTTGTGTCTGGGGGGGGAATGGGGGGGAACGTACTATTTGGGATTTTGCATTTTACACGTTTAGCAATGTAGACTGTCTGTGGATTATCCACACACACAGTAGGATTCGGTCAGTTTAGTCTGGATGTGCAAATCCATATAAAGGCAAAGACACTCACTGAGGTAATTCCAGGTCATACTCACAAAAGGTTGAATGAACACACACACAGACACACACACACACAAATGCACACACACAGAGATACACACAAATGCACATACACACAGACACACACAAATGCACACACACACACACACAGACACACACACATGCACATACAGACACACACACAAATTCACATATACACACATAGACACACACACATGCACATATACACACACAAATTCACATATCCACACACAGGCACACACATACAAATGCACATATACACACGCAGACACACACAGACACACACACACACACAAAGGCACACCTGTCCCGGGATAATACTATATATATACAACTTTTTTTAAATATACACACATATACAATATTTAATTTTCATTTTTTTATTACTTTTTGTTAATATAAAGAAAAGAAAGCAACTGAGGCACTGTAAGGTTACAATCCTGTGTTACTCAATTCCTTTTTGTTCGAATGTTTCGGGGTGGGGGGTGGGGGGGGGGGAGACCGAGGAAGATAACAGAAGGCTGTGTAGATTGTGTCCCTGTGTTGTTATTCTGACTGTACCTTTACCATGCAATAATAATAATTTGGTCGCTCAATCCACGACTGTTTGTGGGGACACTGCTGTGCAAATGGCTGCTGTGTTTCATCCACAAAATACACAGTCCCAGGATAATTCTATATATACACAACTTGTGTGTTTTTTAAATATGCACATATATTTACAGCATTTTACACTTTACATTATATTCTATGAAACAACGTGATAAGGTTTATATCAAATGCAAGGGTTATTATTATTATTCACATTTTAGGGGGAGACGAGGGGAAGCGTGTTAAGCACCGCGAGTTTTTTTTTAAAAAATGAAATGTCCTCAAGTTGCCTTCAAGGTAACGTGACTTCAAATTCGAGTTTACTGTCAAAATTCAAATTCACTTAACCCCTCGAGGTATGTGCTGCCCTTTTCCCCTCTCATAAGAAAAGCGAAGGGAGTTTCCTCCCCCAGCTAAAATTGGTCGCTCACTCCATGGCTGTTTGTGGGACGCTGCTGTGCGCAAACTGGCTACAGCGTTTCGCCCACAAAATACACAGTCGTTCCACTTTATAGTGTAATCTGTGACGTGCTTTGAGACGTCTCGACGATGTGATAAGGCGCTATATCAAACGCGAGGATAGTTATCATTACTATTAATATTATTAATGATTAATGATACCCAGGTTATACAGATTGCGAATGTAAGATATTCTTAGATTCCTGTTCGGGCACTTAAGGAGGGAGAAGTGCTGTGTTTTCGCTCTAACTCACACCTGCTCCCTCACAACTTAAATATGAATATTGTTTATCTTAGCTCTTAACCTTGGCCTGTGTTTTATCAAATGTTGTTTGCTTGGCTATACCAAGTGTTGACTGTGCAGATACTGTGCAGAATTGAGAGAGAACTTCTAGACTGTCAAAAAAATGTTAAACTGGCCTTTTTCTTGTAACATTTCCCCAATATTGTTCATTGCATTGTTTTGCGTTGTTACTTCATTGTACTATTGAGAATCACTGGATTTTTGGGGGAGGGGCGGGAGAATGAAACAAGGGGGGGGAAGAGAAAAGGGATGCACCTCCACATGTGAACCCCCTTAGAGGACCCCGACATCTTACACCTGGGAGGGGAGGGATTTTGAGTATCGCTCCCCCCACCCCCACTGAAACCGGTGACATTTTGTCACCGAAGCTTGATCAGTACTCAAGGGGTTAAACCTACCTCAGCCGAAAGAGGCTGAGTGACAAACTCCTTTCCCCCTTTTCTGCCCCGATGCTTCGAGGGACAATTTGTTTAGAGAATATCTTTGTTTAGTGCATTGTAAATATATTTGATAGATTTATTTTCAGAGATTTATAACTGAATATTGGGTTAAATTATTAAAATCTTCCCGTTTTCTGTTAGCCTCGTGGAAAGGATGTTTAATTATGGCATTATTATTAATAATGATTAAAAATGTTCACGTCACTGATCATTTGCAACTTTCACTGTTTATTATTTGTCAACGGTCCTCCTTGGCGGGAGCAGGTGGGGGAGAGGCGTAACTGGAAGTCTCCTCGGAGCTGAACTGGCTCCAAGGTGACGTGCTTGGCAGTGGGATGTGGGGATCGAGCCAGGCCTCCGCGACGGTCTGGTTCCTGAGCCAGGCGAGTCCGCAGGAATACTTTAAAGCCCTTTGAGATGTCCTCTCGACCCGACAGGCACTGTTGGGTCAAATGCAAGGACTATTTTATTACACGTCACAAACCATCATCTGTGAAGCGGTGTTTGTGAGGAGTGCTGTGTCACACACAGGGATTGTAGTGGTTGTTAAACAATTACTGAACTGTACTTAGCGGTTAGAGCCTTCGCCTCACAAGTGAGTGGACGAAACCTTAGGCAAGTTTCCTTACTCCACACACACGCCTCTGGGATTTTCAGGACTTGGTGTTAAAAACTTCGGAATTGAGTGACGTGAGACGAGCTTAAGGTCAGTGAAATCTTCTCTCTCCTGCATCCTCAGTTTAACTTCTCATCTGACGGACGGCACCCCCGACAATCAATGCAACCCCTCCCCCACACCCCCCCCCCCCCAGCGCTACAATGGAGCCTCAGTTTAGATGATATGATTCCAAGTCCTGATGTGGGGCTTGAACCCACAACCTTCTGGCTCGTAGGTGAGAGCGAGGGTGAGTGAGCCAGACTGAGATGAATGGGAGAGATGAGACGAGAGGAGTCAGAGATCAGCAGACGTAGGCTTGTTTCCCGTGGCAGACAGGATGGAGACTTCAGATGTTTATAAATAAGGCTGTGAATGATTCAATGGCATTTTTCTTTAACACAATCCCACATTATGAGCTACTGCTTTCAGCCACAAAGATCACAATGACTTAATCGACCTTCCATCGCACTGGAGCACACGTTATACCGAGCAGACTCACCCCCAGCCTCGAAATGTGTCAGCCTGGCACCACGGTTAGTGCTCTCGCCTCTGAGTCAGAAGGTTGTTAATCTAAACTGATGCTCCAGTGCAGCCCTGGGGGTGTTTTGCATTGTCGGAGGTGCCGTCCTTCGGATGAGACGTTAAACCGAGCCTATTCAGGTGAACGTTGAAGATCCCATGGCGCGATTCAAAAAGAGAAGGGAGTTTCTCCCTCTCTCCTGCTGTCCAGGCCAACAATCCCCCAAATAAAATTGGTCGCACACTCCTTGGCTGTTTATGGGACACTGCTGTGTCCACCCACCCACCCACCCTCCCGCACTGAGAGAGAGAGAGAGGTACAATTTAGGGAATATTACAGCGCTAAGTGAAGGTCT